TTCTCTCTGGGTCCCTGGCTCTCACTTGTTCCCACCTCCGCCTTCGCCTCTGCCCTTGCTGCCACCCCCAGGCGCCTCGGCCACCCTGCTCCTGGCGCACGAGCTGAGGGCACCTGCTGCTTCCGTCCTGGAGTGGCGCTTGGCCCCCCCCCCCCCCCCGCAGCTGGTACCATCTGCCACAGACAGTGAGGCCTGCATGGTGCCAACAGCAGCAGGTAAAGACTTTCCCCTGTTCTCAAGCAGAGGGCGGCATCTAGTGGAGTTCTTGATTTAACTGTGTCAGCGGGTCATGGCAGAGAACCTGGACAGGACCTGGCGAACACCACCCAGCCCAATTATACTAGAGTATATCACTGTACTTGTAAACACATAGGTTTAATTAGTGAGCTGTTTAGGGAGCGAGTTCTGGCCAAAAACGTAGGTTATCCACAAAATTCCAGAAGGACTGGGAGCGCGACTACCACTTCTGCTCTATCACATCTACTAACTCCATCAGTCTCTTCTCCTTGAACCATTTCTGGCTGAGTGACCTTAGGAACCGGGACCAGAGTTTGATGGTTTCTGATTTTGTCCTCGTCCTTTTCCCACCTTGTTTCTTAGACTGCAGGCTTAAAGGAAAAGGCAATCTTGTTTTTTTCTTACTGTGGGTAAGCCACTCTGGGAGCCTTTTCATTTCAAGAGTGGAGTAAAAAGTTAATTTAAGGGTGCAATCCCATGTCATGTTTAAACAGAATTAAAAGGCTGGCTGAATCATGCTGGAAGTTGTTTTTTCCTGACTAAATGGGCATAGGATTGCACCTGATATCAATCCAGCCATCGTGTAATAGACTTGGGCCAGTGCAGAGCACGGAATGCACCCTCTTGAAAAGCTAAGCATTTGCATTTTGCATTCGTTTTGGTAGAGAAACTAATCTGACATGCGAAACTGGCTTTTACTCGAACTGGCCTGAACTGACCGCTTGACTGGCAGGGCTTGGCAGCCTCTCAGAGAAAGAGGGTCTTTCCCATCAAAGGCTATCCAAGATCTTTACAAATAATGATTTCAGGGATTGAACTGGAGACCCCCAGTCTGCTAAAAGCATGTAAGGCACATTGCTTATCTTGGTTCTGAGCATCACCTGGAGTGGGTGGAGGTTACCATTCCAAAACGTAACCGAGACAGTAGAGAAATACTATTGGTCAAGAACATTGGCTATCTGGCCAGGATGAGATTGCAATCCTCTTGAAGGGACAGAAAATTTGCTTGGTGGCACTCCAGAGACACCATGCCACTGTTCACAGCTTGATGTTGTAAGCCGCCCCGAGGCCTTGGCAAGGGGCGGCATAGAAATGTTTAAATAAATAAATAGATAGATAGATAGATAGATAGATAGATAGATAGATAGATAGATAGATAGTTCGAGATGCCCCCTCTGGTCCTGGCTTCAGCCATGCGTCTTCCAGTTACCTTCAGACTGGATTATTCTAATGCCCTCTGTGTGAGGCTGCCTTTGAGGATGGCCGGTTGGAAGCTTCAACTTCAGCTTCAAATGCTGCGGCTGGCCATCTGGAGCTTACATCGCAGCGTCTAATTCTGATATTGGGTCAGCTCCCCTGACTCCTCATTTGCTTCTGCTCTAACTTTAGCCCCCTAAACTGCTTGACCGGCTTACTAGTGTGTTCCTAAACAGGTCTTGCCTGGGAACTGAGGGTGCAATCCTAGGCCTGATTAGATAGATGCCAAGTTTTGCATGATGGGAGCAGTGTGGCTTTTCTGTCCGACCATGCCTAGGATCGCACCTTTAATTGCCACGTTCTCCATGCCACCTCGAGATCTCAGTGAGTTGGGATGAAGCGCGGAAGCTGCTTGGTGGTGCTGCCGCTTTGACTCTGGTACATTCTCCCAATCCAGGGCTCCCCCTGCGAGATGGGTTGATTCCATAAAGGAGGCCACAGTCTTGCCTTGGCAACAGCTGAACAGGGCTGTAAAAGGCAAGGTATTTCTAGATCGAGAGAGGTATTACTACCACTCTATATGACTCTGGTGTGCCCGCAATTGGAGTATTGTGCTCAGTTTTGGGCCCCTCATTACAGGAAGGATATAGCCAGGCTAGAGTCAGTGCAGCGAAGGGCCACAAGGTTGGTGGCCGGATTGCAGGGAAAGCCGTATGAGGCAAGGCTGAGGGAACTGGGTCTCTTCAGCCTGGAGAAGAGGAGACTCAGAGGGGATCTGTTGGCGACATACAGGTATGTGACGGGGTGTCACATGGAGATGGGTAGAGACCTGTTCTCCCCTGCAGAGGAAGGCAGGATGCCCTCCAATGGAGCAAAGTTCAGGGAGCCAAGGTTCAGTTTAGAGGCCAGGAAGCACTTCCTGACAGTTAGGACCCCAAGGATATGGAATGGGCTTCCACAGGAGGTGGTTGAGGCCCCACTGGTGGGGGTGTTCAAGGACAGGCTGGGCATGGTGGGCATGTCGTGAGCGGAGCTGGCCGGAGCCGGGGGTCAGACTAGATGGCCTGGGAGACCCCTTCTGACTCGCTCTGTTTCTCTGTTTGTATGTTTCTATGTATTTTATAGGGCATTCTCTCGTAAGCCTATTGGATCCTTGCCCGTCTTGGTTAATAAATAACTCCAAGCACGGGATTGGGACCTGGATTTTGGAAGTGGTTAACGCTTCTCTGAGGGAGGGTCGAGTGCCTGCCCCTTTAAAGGAGGCGGTAATACGACCGGTCCTGAAGAAAGCGTCACTGGATCCAGAGATGGCCACTAACTATAGACCTGTGGCCAACATCCCGTTTCTGGGCAAGGTGCTGGAGCGAGTGGTGGCGGGACAACTCCAAGCACTCTTGGAGGAAACTGATTATCTGGATCCTTTTCAGTCCGGCTTCAGACCCGGGTACAGTACTGAATCTGCCTTGGTCGCCCTGTACGACGACCTGTGCAGGGAGAAGGACAGGGGGAGTACATCCCTGTTGGTTCTTCTGGACCTCTCAGCGGCTTTCGATACCATCGACCATGGTATCCTTCTGGATAGACTTGCGGGATTGGGGGTTGGAGGCACTGCTTTGCAGTGGTTCCGCTCCTATCTCGACGGTCGATTCCAGAAGGTAGTGCTGGGGGACCATGTCTCTACGTCATGGCAGCTATGCCATGGGGTACCACAGGGCTCCATTCTATCCCCTCTGCTATTTAACATCTATATGAAACCGCTGGGAGAGGTCATCAGGAGGTGTGGGCTGTGGAATCATCAATATGCTGATGATACCCAGCTTTACCTCTCATTCTCCACTAATCCAGGTGAGGCAGTGGCTGTGCTGAACCGGTGCTTGGCCGAGGTAAGGGAATGGATGAGGGCCAATAAACTGAAACTCAACCCAGACAAGACGGAGGTCCTGTTGGTTGGCGGATCGGGTTTCGGAGAAGGTGGATTTGACCTGGTCCTGAATGGTGCAACACTCCCTCTTAGGGATAAGGTCCGCAGCTTAGGTGTACTCCTCGACCCGGAGCTTTCTTTGGAAGCTCAGGTGACAGCGGTAGCGAGGAACGCCTTCCTTCAGCTTCGGCTGATTAATCAGCTGCGCCCCTACCTGGAATACGACTGCCTGGCGACGGTGACACACGCGCTGGTGACTTCCCGCCTAGACTTCTGTAACGCGCTTTACGTGGGGCTTCCCCTGAAGACAGTCCGAACACTTCAATTGGTGCAAAATAGAGCTGCCAGGTTGCTGACGGGGACGGGGCGTTATGCTCACATGACTCCAGTCCTCCATCAGCTTCACTGGCTTCCCATTGAAGCCCGGGCCCAATTCAAGGTGTTGATTATGACCTACAAAGCCCTAAACGGCTTGGGTCCTGGCTACCTGAACGAGCGCTTACGTCCGTATATGCCCGACCGCCCTTTGAGATCTGCGGGAGAGTCCCTTCTCCGGGAACCCTCCATGAAAGAAATTAGGAGAGTAAGTACCCGGAGGAGGGCTTTCTCTGCGGTGGCGCCCAACCTATGGAATTCACTCCCCAAAGAGGTCCGCCTGGCACCGTCGTTACTGGTTTTTCGGCGCCAGGTAAAGACCTTTTTATTTAAACATCATTTCAATTGTTAAAACATATGATCTGGCCTGGGCAACTTCTTCTTCCTTCTCTTTCTCCTCCTATATTTTTATTTTATACTGATAATTTTAATTTTGTATTTGTAAATCAATGTATTTTTTGTATTGTTATATTTAATGGTAATTTATTATGTACTATTGTATTTCAATGTATTTTATCATGTTGTAAGCCGCCCCGAGGTTTCGGCAAGGGGCGGCATAGAAATGTTATAATAATAATAAAAAAAAATAATAAGCTGCTTTAAGGTGGAGACAGCTTGACAGTTTGTAACATCGACAACTTCGCAACTCTTCTCCTAGGAAGAATGTTCTGATTTTGATGGCTATTGGATGTGTAATAGCCATTTTATTGTTTACAGTTTTAAGATGGCGCACATTCTCCTGGAGTTCTTGATTTAAGGTTTTGTTTATTGCATACTTTATTAGTGGGTTGTCGTATTGGCACTTTTTATTGATCGTGCTAAGTGCTTTCCATGACTGTGATTTACATAACTGTGGGGGCTTCTAGAAGAAAGAGATATAAATAAAGGCCTGCCATTTATTTATTCATTTATTTTAGAATCTAATGTATGGTGGTACTAAAAAAGGTGATGTTTACGTTCCTACAAGATTCTTGGAACTCTAATCATCATCCAAGAAATGAACAGTTGTATTAATTTTTCCTCTTCCGTGTTGGTTTATGAAATACATACATTGGTACAAAAGCTGTCCAGTATCTCTTGAAATGAAATGTGTGGTTTCATAATCCACTCCTCTAAGAACATCAAACCCTTTCAATTTAATGCTGGATTCTTATTAAAAATACATGCCCTATATTGTAAAGGTTTCACAACAGCCACTCTTAATATTTTTTAACATGAGGAAAAAATGCTACTATATTGAAAACTTTCTACCAATCTGAGGGATACTCACATGACAAAGGGCATCAATTGGGTAAGGGTCTCTTTTTTCGGGTTGGCAGTGAATTCTGGCAGTATCTGGATTACTTTGTTCATCACATTTCTTAAGTAAATCTGTAACTGCTTCCGTCGCTCCTCAACAAACTTTGCATCCTGGGGGAAAGGGAAAAGGAGGGAGGAAAATTACACCATTGTATTCAATTCATGTGTTGAGCAAAAAAATATATAAAATATGATTATTGATCTCATGCATTCTTGTGTTTAAAATAACCAGTGTCCAAACCAGAGCACAACATCAGCTGTACAGCATAAGCTGCAATGTGCTACCATCACAAATAGGTCTATAATCCCAATTTGATGTTAGTTAAACTGGGGGGGGAGGGGTGGAACGGGACGGGACACAATAGGTTACTCTAGCCCCAGTGTGCCTCATAAATGAATGGGTATATTGTGGGTAGGAGTTCTGCCAAGGAGGGATCACCCCCAAAAATGGAATCGCTGGGAGCTTCCCTTATTTCGGAGATGTTACCATCCAAGGGACATGTGATTCCTCCCAACAACAAGCTGGTGTGAAAGAGGTACCACTTTGCACGGGAAAGGATAACTACAGCTGTTGGAAGCATCTGACGGGCTGGATTTTGACAGGTGTCGAGTGCTTGCAAAGGGGCATTAACTTAGCTGCACCCCAGGAGACCACTGAATGGAGTGGGCAACTGTTGGATTTTGCCAGTCCCGCCCCCAATGCTTCTCCTGCATAACTGTGGTCATCTTCAGTTGCAAAGGGTGGCAAGAAAAGAAATTAAGAAGTCACAGGTATTTGCAACCATTAGGGACTGCAAAAAAGAGCAAGAAACAGAAACAAAAAGTCAACTGCAGGTAGACCCTGGGGCAGTTGGCAACTGTGGCTCCAAAAAATAATAAAAGTAGTTCCCAACCACTGGGTCATTTTGGAAAGGCAGCTCTTGACTATCCAAAGTGGGATCAGGAAAAAGTGCAAGAAATACTGTGCCTCTGCTAACTGCCCCCAAGAGGCAGGAGCAGCAAGGAGGAGTTACAACACTCCCAAGGACTTTGCTATCAGTTTGTGTTGGCCCACAACAGGACGTGCCATCTGGGTCCAGATGACATGAAAACCCATGGCAGGACAACAAACCTGACAAGAAGCCCGGTGGCTTATAAGCCAACCTTTAATCACCTTGACAAACCCATTAAGGGCTTGCAAGTCATGCTAATCCACCAGGACTCAGAAGGCACAATGGGAGGCCATCTCATGCAGCCCCAGTCAATGTACAGCAGCGAGAAAATTACGCTCTTGGTGCCTCTTAGCAGCCTGACACTTCGTCTCTGTACGACAGGGACAGGGGATTTTGATCAAGGTTAAGGGCTACCCTTCTTCATGGGGAAGCTTCTGGGGCCACCTGCCAGTGAGAAATGGGGCCACAGATGGACCCATGTAAGTACAGTACTGTCTGACACTACAGTCTAGCACAGTACTGATTTACAGAGCATTTCGTGCTATGGTACTTTTGGCCTAGGAATGGCTCTGTGGGACCTACAGAGAGGCCGTATTGCAGGGGTGGAGCATGTGCTTTGCATGTAGAAGGGCCCAGGTTGAGCTCCGGCATCCCCGGGAGGGCTTAGAAGAAATGGTGCAGGAAACCATGGAGATCTGCTGCCAGTCTGTGTCGACAGTACTTGGCTAGTAGTTTGTCTTCCTACATCTTGATTTTTCTTCTCTGCATACAGAGACCAGCAGCCTCTTGATCCTGGTATGTCAGCCTTCCCCACTCTGGCGCCTTCCAGACTTTCCAGCTCCTAGCACCCCTGCTGGCTGGGGCTGATGGTGGTTTATTTATTTCTTTTATTTAAAGCATTTCCAGCCTGTCCTTTGCCCAAGCCTCAGGGCAGCTTACAAAAAAATGGTTGAAGTCCACAACTTCTCAAGGGCACCAGCCTTATGCCTTAAGGACACGTCAACGAGTTCCTCTGCTCATACAGGTGACCTTGTTCATTTCAGAAGAGGGAACAGACACGTCTGTGCCATCTGCACATTCTGCACGAGCCCAGGGAGCTCTTGCAAAATGTGGCTGGAGAAACGCATGCAGTGTAGTGAGTCGCATGAACATGGATGATTCAGAAACAGGACCTGCTGAGAACCTTGTTTCACTTTCCTCTTCAAATTTAGCTTAACACCCCACATTAACCACTTTCGTATGATTTGAGACAACCAGCCAAGGGATATATTTACATCTGCCTCTACTGGAGCACTGTCATTTGAGTCGTTTCCCATTCACCTCCTTAAGGTCCCCAGTCAACAGCACATTAGAAACAACGAATCTGGATGGAAGCCCAGAATGGAAAATGCCAAAGAGCTTTGGTAGTCACTTCATAAAGTTGAGCTGTGTGTAATCTTACTATCTACCTGCTACAGCTTTCCTCTGAAAATATTCTTGCCAGTTATGCTATCGTCTAACCCAGCGGTGGGGAGCAGGTAAACAAGACATATTTGATGGGCACAGACCAGCTATCTGTGTCAGCTGAAAGCAGTGACAAAGCCTGCTCATTCAAGAACAGTGTTGGGTAGCAGTTAGAGCATTAGGACTCAGAAGACCCAGGTTCAAGTCCTCATTTGTCCATGGGTGACTTTAAACTGTGACAATCATTGACCAGCAGCCTAACCAACCTCACATGGCCACTGTGAGGATAAAATGGAGAATGGTTAGCTGCCTTGGATTCCTGGAGAATAATGTGGGATATAACTGTAGCAAACAACCAACCAACCAACAGCTGACATAGCACATCAAAATGAGGTTTGCTTTGATTCTGTGGATTCTGAAATAAAGCACATGAAATGATTTGGACAGAACACTAAACCATAGATTCAGATAATAATACTCCTAGATTCTCCAAAGGCTCATATGCTGTGGAGATCAGAAGCTTTTGCTTTCATTTTTGTTAACAGCCACAAGCCATGATTAAGACGAATCATGGTTAGTGGAAACAAACCAACTTCAACCCACATCTCACACAGCAAGCCAGTTTTCACCAACCACCATAAGGGTTAAACACAACAGGCTAAATCGCTGTTAGTCTAAAGCGGAAGTTGTTGAGCTCCTTTGTATAAAGCTGGAGCAGAAGGGAGGGTGGACTTTGATAACTGGGTTACCTCACAGGGGGCATATGGCGGGAGCGTTTAAGACTCATACTGGGACCCTGTACCTATTCTAGACAGAAATGGAAAGGAGACATAGATGCTAGACTCAAATTTAAAATACTGTCTGTTTTGGCCCTTGTTGTTTTCAACAAGATAACCTAGCATTTCAGTCTCAGACACTGGAAGATTCAACTTCTCCAGCTCCAACCACCAACTGAAACCAGGACATTATGTCAGATGAGCTACGATGGACAAGCCAAGTCTACCTTCTCACCACTATTGTCATCAGTGACTATTGCTCCGCATCTCTTTGTCTCATTGCTACTCCCATTTTGCCTGGCAAGGAGAGAATCACTGAGCAGCGGCATCTCCAGACCCTCCTCCTCAACACCACCACTGTCTGAACCAAAGAGAGCCAGCTGAAGAGACTGCAGGGATGAAGAAGCGAAGCACGTCCAAGAGACTCCTGTCAGTGGAACTCTTCTGAGGCATGGGCCCTTGGCTGGTGCCCAACCAATCTGATGTTAGCTCCACCAGTAGAAACTCTATTTAAGTCAGTTACTTTCATCTGCACAGCACTGGGTAGACACAACTGTTCTGGAACTCCCAGAACGTCTGAAACTGCAGGCAAGGCATCCCAAAGCCCACCTCTCACCACATTCTCCTTTGCATCTAAGCACATTTCATGCGCCCAAGCCCCTCCTTCCTTTGACGAAAAGAGGATGGTTGCAATGAAATGCTTGCATACAACACCTTGCACTGCTTCATCAACATGACTGATTATGGGAGCAGACTTTGGTCAAAAGAAAGGTTTCCTCCATCTGATGCCATAAATTCCAACCCAGAATGGAATTTGGGCCTTGGTCTGCTTGTGACAACTGCCTGTTCCTTTTTTCATTACACTATTTAGCACTGAAAAAAGGAAAGCCAGAAAGTGTTATATACTGGATTTACAGTTGTGAATCAAGTCTGAAAGAAACAACCACGACTGAAGAAACAAATTGCTCATTTTTCTAAAGAGACCAATGTATACTGGCTGATTGGTAAACTATATTAAATGCACCCCCACACACACAAACACAAAATTGCTATTGTCAGTTTAAAAACTCTCAAAAGATATATGGCTGTTCTATTAACAGGAAAAAATTATGGACCTACTTAATGATCTTGCAAAATCACTGTTTGGAGATTTTACCCACTTTGCTAGAACACCAGGAAACAAGACTGAAAAGATGGGATTTTCAAAATCCATTCTTTAGTTTGTGATTTAAGGTTAAAGTGTGTGACATACTTTTGTTAAGCTGCAATCTTAAAACATGAATCGATTTTTAAGTGGGTGAATGATAGAAGCATGATACCATCACCATGAAGTCTGTTTGCAGATAATCTTTGCATTTCCTTGCTTTAAAGGCTTGTTGTGTCTTAGCACAAAGCAGACACAGCTCTGGCCAGGTTCCATGCATGTAAAACTGTTACTGTGGCATCTTTTCTGTTGTTGCTCTCTACAGCCAGCGGGACTGAATTCGGAGCAATGTGTTTCAATGCTGAGATGGTAATATTCTGAATGATAAACTCTTTTGATAATGGAAAACAAAGTTCCACCAGTAATATGAGTTCTGGCAAATTACAGTTGGTTTTCAATGTTATTGCCTAACAGATGGCTAACATGGGCTGAGACATTTCATCTTATATGTTCCCAATATATTTCCTCTTGCAGGCTACTAAACATAACATGATTTTCAGTGTCATCCAACAAGCTAAACAGATAATTAATGATTTTGTTTCAGTTTTTCCAAAACTAAATTGGCACCCTGATTACTGGAAGCCGCTAACCTCTGAAAAAGACATGCTTTCATTGTTTGTTATGTGGGTTGGCAGAAGAAGCCACCAAAGGGGGCAACCTAATTCCACAAAGGCCAGAGAAGCATTTTTATTTATTGCAACGGAAGCTGCATCAGGACTCAAAACACAGCAGGGGAAGTAATTAATGTGGAAGCAG